TATGCGTAAGTGAGCTTCGTGCTCTTCAAGAGACGTCGACGCTATGAGTATGTCGTCGATGAATGCAAACACAAATTCCAGGTCGCCTAGAGCGCGGAAGATTTGACGCTGAAATGTTTGACTCGCGTTTCTAAGACCGAATGTCATGAATTTATATTCGAACAGTCCGAAGGGCGTAATGATAGCCATTTTCGGAATATCTTCCCGCCACTGGAATTTAATTGTATGCCTGATACAGATCTAGCTTAGAGAAAATGACTTTCCCACGCAGATTGGAGGAGCAATCGTGCAAATGTGGTACGGGAAATTTATCCGGCACGATAATTGCGTTAAGACGACGGTAATCGCCGCAGATCCTCCATGATCCGTCTTTTTTTAGTACCATATGAATGGGACTTGCCCATGGACTACTGGACGGACGGCAAATACCGGCTTTAACTAACCGTTGAAATTCAGCCTTTGTCGTTTTTAATTTTACAGGACTTAACTGCCTGGGGCGCGCGGATAACGGCAAAAAAAAAATCGCTACTGCAATTCGGAGTTACCTGTTCTAAACCGGTGACCTCCGGAAATTCAGATAAGATACTCGCGAATTTCGTACTGGGTTTGACCGTGCTAATGGCAAGCTGTGGTACCGATTTGACAATGCCCGACACGTACACATTATTTTGTGAATCGATGAGTCTACGACCTTTAAGGTCCGCAAAGAGACCGTAATGTGCAATCAGGTCGGCCTTTCGTATCACGACGGCCTTTCGTATAACATCACGTCGGGGTCACCAATGTGGGAATAAGTGACTCAATGGATAAGTCAGATTCTCTAGACAAGCCCACGCTTGGCGTGTGATGTGATATAGGAAATAATGATCGAGACTTTATTTATAACTGGTAATAATAATCTTTATTTCACGAGCACAATTTATGACCGTACAGGATGAACGCCTTTATTGATGTTGTTATAATTTTTCTTTTTTTATTATTTTTACGCTGCTAGGCAACTCGCTACCTACATAATCCTTAAGCTTTCTACACTCGCTGCGCTAGTGAGGTATTAAGAATTCCCCACATTACTTATTTCACGCATGCGCACTCCATTTTGGCCAACATAAAATTAGGAGAATTGCGCTACTGTATATACTGTTGTGTGGTGTAACATTGTGCATAATGACAATAGTAATACTATTTTATATTGGAAACAATCAATCAAATTTTACTTAATATGCGCTTCCCTGTGTATATAATAGCGCTGAAGTACTGGAACTGCTAATCAAAATTTGCCCAAAATTCACTCTTTTATTGCGCAATCACGGGAATGTTTCACTTGCATTCTTACATCATGATTTCTATGGTATTAGATATCCTTCTTACACTGATTTCGGAATTTTCTTCTATTATCCTTAAAAATGCAATTCTTCATATTTGACGTCGATACAGATCTAAGCCCATCAAAGTCTCGATGGCGAATTCTAGACGATCTGATTCACAAAGTGGGTGAAGATTTTAAAACAGTGTACAAGAGATTCTTCGATTAGAAAATTTTTCGGTGTAAAAACATCGTATAATAGAGACACTTCCATTAGCACGAACATTAAAAAATGCATATCTGCTATTTCTTTATTAGAGTAATACGCTGATATTTTTAGCACGACTTGTATAATCATCCGCAATCACCGATTGATGACGCTTGACTGATTGCCTGTAATTATCTTCTGTTATGAAGTATGTATGGAAATTGAATGAGGACATACAGAATGTGATTTATAAACATTGAGGTAAACATCGCATATGACATCAAAATCATTCATGATGCTACATACAAAAATATTTGTATCTCAGAAACGTTGAGTTTTCGATCTATATTTGCGAAGGTTTTTTTTTTATTCAATATAATGTATGCTATCTATCATATAAATGCTGAATGGTTTTTTGAAAATAGCCGTATATATACATATATATTCTATGTGTACAAAGATGATATGATGAAGATATAAATTGCCATGCTATTTTATACAGGAAACGAGGTAGTAATAGTAAAAAATGGTCTAAGAATATGCGGAAGTGGTGGTGCCTTAACGAATGCCCCTCTTCTTCAGAGTAAAAGTTATTTTGAAGTGAAGATACAGCAGGGTGGTATATGGGGCATTGGATTAGCTAGAAGAGATACGGATCTCAATATCGCTGTAGGAGGTAAAGACTCAGAAAGTTGGGCGCTTGATTCTGATGGTATCATAAGGCACAACGAACAAGAACTTCACAAGATTCAAAATCCTGTCCAGGAAGGAGATGTCATCGTATGTACTGCTATTTAGTTTGATATATTTTGAAGAAATAATTAATTAAACTTGAAAAATCGAAGAAATGCTTCTGATTTTTTAAAAGATTATTACAATCAATATTTTGTTTGAATAATTAAAAACTTTTTTTCAGGGAGTATCCTACGATCATGTAGAATTGAATTTTTATTTAAATGGAGAATCCATGAATGCTCCAGTTATAGGTGTAAAAGGACGGATTTATCCAGTATTATATGGTATTTATTTATTGTAATGAACAATTCACAACGAGAATTGATTAAAATGGATTTAAATTTTAATCATTTGAATTCACCTGAATACTTTAGTACAACATTCATGATCTTTACTCTTTTAGATACAATTGGATGAAAAAACTTCTTTTAGAAATTTAATTGGATTGAAAAATTGCATTTCCTATTCAGAATTTTGAACTGAAAAGTATTTACGATGCACTTAAAGAATTGAATTTTTTTTAGGTTGAGAGGCATAGAAATGTGCTTCATGTGCAATTCTTATAAATGAACAAAAATGCATTGAGATTAAAAAAGATTCATTTCAATGCGAATGTATACTTCTGAAAATCTGAATCCATTTCAATCCATTTTCGTTTACTGGGAATTAACATGTGTATGATGATTGATATATTTTTATATATAATTTATATTATTTTAACTTTCAGTGGATGATGGAGCCATTCTGGATCTATTTCTAGAAAATTTTAATTATACTCCACCAATGGGCTTTGAGAAAATAATGCTGGAACAATCGTTGCTCTAGCAGGATGATAAGAACAAAAATAACATGTATTGTTAAAATTGACATTCCTCGTTCGAGTTTCGTTAAACATTAAGAGTTGAAATTAAATGTTAAATTAAAATAAATTGTAAACAGGGAGTTACAACATAGTATAAAAATATAACATGGTATTAAAAAACAATGTAACAAATACAATTGCATGATAATATATTTTATTGAGGAGCTTGGAATAAACGATTTGCCTAAAGATGAGAATCTATTTTTTGATGTATTCTCTACGGAATGAAGATGCATAATAACTAGATTTTATATAACTAATTGAGAGAAAATTCTTGAGATTTATTAAAACAAAAAGAGATTTACAACGTTAAATGTTTGAATGAGTCAATTTAGTTCTATTTCAATCCGATGTTTATGTTACGATAATTACACATATCTTTGTATAATTGTATAATAATAGATATAATCATAAATATGTGTGTACAATTTGAGTATTATATAATATATATATATATATATATATATATATATATATACATACATACATACATACATACATATACACACACATGATTCATTAAACCTTAAACGACTAATGGTATAGTATGTACATTGGCTTATATAAGGTACCGACGGCTTTAGGCCTATTGTTCGCTTTATTAGGCTTAGTGTCATGGCATCTTGTTAATTCTCTCTCTTTCTCTCTCGCTCTCTCTCCCCTCTACACACATGCGCGCGCATATTCTCTCTCTCTCTCGCTCCCTCCCCCCCCCCCCCCTCTCTCTCTCCATAGTTATTTTCCTTTTCACTAATATTGTATTAAATAGTAAAGCTAATTAAACAAGAAAAATCTTATATTTGGTCAAAGCGAATCTTGGTATTTAAATATTTCTAGGTGAATTTATGTATGTGTCTGATTTTGCAAATCGCGACCGAAATCTTTTTCGGTCTTGAAATGCAATCGTAAGCAGAATCAAAGTAGTAATGTCACTTATTAAATTGATAAGCAATTTAATAATTTTTGATGATAATAAGCAATTTTATAAGAGTATTCATAATCCAGATGTTAACGAAAATCGTAAATCTGTGAAAAATATAGCCTCAATCAGGATTCGAATCTGGAAAGATTTCGGTTTGCGATTTGGAGAATTAGATATGTACATAAATTCACACAAAAAATTACACAGAAGCATTAAAATCCGTTTTGATCGAATCTATCTTTTGTTTAATTAGATCTATTTTCATCGGTTCAAATTCATATCATAATTAAAGCTAATGTTTCAACCTTAACATATCGAAAACTTGCATTTTTATATTATCAGTCGTACAAATGTTAGAACAATTCAATTATTGTAAATAAATATATTTTTCAAATTCATACATACTGAGATCATGCATATATATTCGACTTATAAAATTTTATCGCATTTCAAAATAAACTGCACACTACCGCATATAATATAATTAAATACATATTCTCAATCGTTTCCTTTATCTGGTATAAAAATCGATCACAGTAAGACAAGCGCCTTTAATTATAATATACAAATAATAACTAAAAAAAACTTGAAGTAACTGCTGGCGCTTATCATCGACATTATGAACTTTTCATCTAACGACGTGTCTAAAAGTTTCTTACAATTGTTTGTGTTGCAAGCTTTCTCAATACTTGCTGAAACATATCAAATCTTTGGTCCTTAATATTAGTTCTATATAAACAATATCAATAGTGTCACACACGCTTAACATTACGCATTTATGTTATATAAATAGGTCATTCGATTGAAACAATGTAATTTTTAAATTACCTGATATTATTTGCCATAACAAAATCTTATTAAATGTAACATAACCGTCTATCTTTAGCGGTTAATATTTAAATATAAGAATTTCATGGCACTCTTTTTTCCTACATAACTTACTCTCTAAATACATATGATTTGTATTCATTCGAAAGACCTTTATTATATTTTCTAGAGAGTTTTTGTAATCTATTAAGTAATTATTAGCAACTCTAAACTACTACAACTTTTATATTTATTTTATGACTGGATGATATGAAATATTTATAATGGTAACCCATCGCAGTCGCCTTATTGCACTTTCATTGCATCTGAAATTTCAGTACTAATCCTGTTAAAGTAGCATGATTAATTTTAATATACAAATGATCATCATCCAATGCCTTATATACTATCGTTTAATTAAACTATATAGGCCTGTGATAAAATAATTTAAATAATTTTATGAAATATATAAGGGAGACTTTCGATATTATAATTATGGTGTAATTATTTGAATATTGAACTCTGCTTACAGCAAAATAATGTTATAAATAATGAACAGTATAGTTTTCAACATTATACAAATTAATTGAATGTAGGACCGTTAATGATCACTCACGAGCAATATGCAAAGCAACGATGAAAAATGGATATCATTTTCTTCCATTTTCAGATATTTCCATCGGAAACATACATCGGTTAATATATGGCTTACCATATTTGTTTCATCATTTGAACAATACAAAACACTTCCGTAAATGTAAATTTGTTTCAATTACACTGCAAATAATTTCTTTAAAAAATATATACTTTCAGATATATTTACAAAAGTATAATTCGATATCTACATATCTGTTAATTATAAAAAATGTGCTTATATAAAGAATTGTATACAAAGAATACATAAAATATATCAAATGTTGAAAAATTGTTATTGCCCGTGTTTTTTCTAAATAATAATAGTATCAATGACAACTTGAGATCTTGCGCATTCTTTTTATCTTTTAAGTAAAGCTTGACCTTTTTAATAACATAGCTAGAATATTTGTGCTTTAATTAGCAGTATTTGTTATATATATTTGTATTTGGATACACGCATTATAAATAAAATTTAACACATAAAAAAAATCATTAACATCATAATTATTCAATGTTTTTATATGTAAAAAATTTGATTCTCTTCATTTGTGTATTTTTTAAGAATGAGAAATCTGTTATTTATACTTAATATTTTATTTATAAAATTAAAATCAAGCTCATATATTCTAAAATAGGATTTCAAATAGGTCAAGTAATCGAGCAAAAAAAAGATGAACTAAATAATATTTGATTCGTAAATTTCAAATATGTAACGAACAGAACGTTTCAATCTCGTTTTAATTCCTCATCCGTACATGATCGCATTATAATTTAAGATGAATTTAAAAGAAAAAATTATAAATAAAATAAAGATAAAAATAAAAGCAACAAAAAGCGTTGAATAATTGAACAAGTAAAAAGCCACATCAATGATAACATGAATAACAGTATATTAGAAAATTAAGAGATATGGAAATAATAAAAACGCTTTCCTTATTACAGATCGAATCGCAAGCTAATGATGTTCAATAATAAGATGTGATATTCGTAACACCTCTTCGTTGAAAGGCGAGAAAGAGTTGAGTCCACACACAGCAAAGTAAAAATACGTAAAAGTCAAGGAGTATAATGTATAATGTACAGCTTTTCCATTTTGTTTAACAAACAAAATGAAAATGTTATAAATTATGAACAATGGAAAAGGGTAATATCAAATCATTTATTAAAAAAGAAAGAATTTATATAGTATATGAGTGTGAGAAATATTAAATATTGTGAGAAACTTACACAAGTTAGATGTCTGCATCACGAAGTTCTTCTTTACAGTAAGTGTACAGCAAATCAAAAGTAACATATCTTAAAAATTTGATCTAAAAAAAAAATCATTGATTAAAAGTTGATATTTATTCATGGGGAAGATAATCATTATTAAATTTTAGAAATTATTCGAAAAATGTATTTTTATAAAATATCAATTTTTATGTATTTTGATTACGAATAACATTATCGATATCAGAAATTGTTTTTGATTACGAATAATCATGGATGACGGATATTGTTTTTAGTAAAGAATAATAACCATTATCAATGACCAGAATATTATATTATGAATAACCATTACCGATGATAGTGTTCACAGTTTATAGAACTCATAAATGTATTTGAATAGTCATATGAATATTATTAAGCATTAAGACTCACTTTGACAATGATATTCTTCTCTTATTTGTATTTGAACATTTCTCGGTCAATTTTCACTTAAATTATTGATTAAATTTTTCCTGTAATCATAGATTGTTATGATGGATTTTGACTGCTGTTATTCTTATGTTTCTTGTTTGTAGTTGTCTGTTGTTTTATCTGCTCCACATATGAGGCATCGCAGTCTCTGCAATTAATTATAAATTACATTGTTATTCGAAAGAAATTCAGTTTTATTCTTATATATTTTGACTAAATGAATGAATTTATTTATCTAAATCCAACATTAATTTCGATCTATTTACACACTTACAACTGTTTTTAATATTTCATAAGAAAGTATCATATTTTTTTAATGTATCCCCGCCTCAATTTGTCCCATTATTAAACACAATCCACAATCCATCACTAAATATTTTTTTGATTCTCAAATTAACTCCTATAAAAATTAGATTAAGAATTGTCACTAACAATTGTAAGTATTTTTATACAGTACTTAAGATTCTTTTACTGAAAGTTAGGCTAAAATAATAATAATCCACGAGATTGTAAATCGCTTTTATTTTATGATATAGTAGATGGTTGGAAAGAAAAGAATAGAAAATATCCTTTTGGAATCAATAAAGATCTCCACCGTTTTTTATATTCAGCAAAAAATCACGAAAGTTTATATTTCGGTTTTCCTCATATTCAAAGGTAAACTATAAATGATAGTGGAAACTACTGAAAGTATTTAAGATATTTGCAATGTGATGTCTGAACCCTGCTAAAATTATGTTGTTTATTTCAATTATGTCGATATCTATAATAGAAAAATATAATAAAAAATAAGTCAATTGTATTTAAAACTCTTTTTTCCAAAGCTTGTAAAATAATGTCGACCACAATAGAAGATAGAGGTAATCCACAGGCGTACCAATTGACTGCATATAATATTATTGAAAGTAAAAAATAAGGAATAATGGAATTTAATACAAACTTAATAATTGCGATAAAATCCTCATACGAAATGGAATATTTTTCTTACAAGCTGGTAGAAAAAGCATATCGGAAATAATTTCATATAAAAACATGGTTAAAGGATACAGGACAATGTTAATGAATGATACTGAAAAGAATTCTAAAAAGAAAATTGATCTTAAGTAAAATTAAAATTATAAGAAAACAGCTCAAATGATTAAAATTCAATACATATAAGAAAGGAACTACGAGCCAATATAATGTATTTGTTACAATATTCAAGATAAAAATTATAAACAAACGTAGAAAAATTGCTGACAAAATTTAATTGCAAAAATATAACAAAAAAAGTTTCGACTTACCTACATGAGGTCACCTTCAAGTTAACAAAAATTAAAATATGCGCGAAATTATTTTAAAAACGCAAAGGCAGAAAGAAGTTGTTTGTAGTAATTACGATATGTAGATGTGATTCGGCGGCAACTCATTATATCGGCGTTGTAACGTAATGTTCCAAGAAAGTGATAGACGTTACTTTAATGTCATGTACTCGCATTTCGGAAGATACATCCAAGAATCGTTATAGTTTAACTGTTATAATTGATAGATAATATTATACAGAGAAGTTAAAAATTAAAATTAGATTCGCCAAGAAAAGAATACAAATAGTAATGTGTCTATGAATAGAATATAATAGAAAGAAAATAAGAAGTATCTTAGCTATATGTTAAAAATGTAAAAAATTAAGAATAGATAGGAATTAAAAAGATATAATATATATCTACCTTAATTCGAGTGCACACCATAATTGTTCCCTATAAAGAGCAGCGTATCTGAGCGCGCAGCTTCGTAAAAAATAGCTTTCATTTAGTAGAGCAGCTTAATGGAAGTAGTTTTGATTCGAATTTGCAACTAGCGTCTTTGGACGTTGTTTCTTTATTTACTAATGTTCCGACTGAATTGGCGATCAGTAGTATAAAAAAAAAAGATGAGTTTTTATATCTAAAAATATCAAGTTGATGAAAGATGCATTTCTGATCGCTATTCGTTTTGTTTTGGAATCTATCTACTTCATGTTTGATGTCTTCTATAAACAAGTTTTTGGAAAGCCAATGGGCTCTCCTCTTTCTCTCATTATCGCCAACATTGTTATGGAGAACTTAGAAGAATTGGCTTTACAACAATTCCATGCCAAATCCTTTTCTATTGTATTATATATATGAATGATATTTTATTAGCCGCGCCTCCTGAATTTCTGAATTCCATTACTAATTATTTTAATTTTACATGAATGATTAAAGTTTACCATGGAAGTTAGCAGCAAGATTTAACTTTCTAGACGTGACTATCATCGTTCATAATGATATTATTATTTTTGATAACTATAATAAATCCATATGTTCTGGTAGATTTGAATTTCCATTCACATCATCCGTGTCACGAAGAACGGCGTAGTAATTAATCTTGTTGATCGCATTCTAATTTATCTCATTTACAATTTCATTAAATAAATCTTACAGAGACATACGCATCTTAACAATTGTTATCCTCTCTCTCTCATTTTTTTAACAATTAATAACAGATTGAAATCATTCTCACAATTCGATACAACATAAATTTCCATCCCATATGTTAAATCGATATCAGAATCCTTTGTTCCTGTCGCTTCGTTTACATAAAACACTATTCCTAACATTCTTAATAAAATTATTGATCGCAGTAAAGACAAATTAAATCACATGTTACAATAAAGAGTAGTATATAAGATCTCTTGCCACGATTGTGTGAAGCTACGTAGGACAGACAAAAAGAAAATTACAAACTCGAGTTTTATAACACCATTCTGATATTAATAAAAAATCAGAATCACCTTCGGTCATCTCAAATCACCACATTACTCACAATCACGATTTTGATTAAAGTAATGTGAGAATTTTGGATTTTGGACATTCTTATAATAACAGGATGATATCTGAAATGGTGCATATAAAGAAACAGCAGAATTGATTAAATTTACAGAACGACACGGAAATTCTTTTCCTGATATTTATCTTCCCATATTAGAATTCTTCCCTCCTTCTAGAATCCTCACTTCTCCCCCCTCCTTTTATCATTCCTCCATCCATATTTTCCCCTCCCTATTTCTATTAAAGTACGTTTGAATTTGCCTATTTCAAATCAATGAACATTTTCGATCTATATGTAAAGGAATTCATTTTTTGAAATTTAATTACTCTCTAAGAACAATTATAATCAGAGTACTATTATAACGAACAATTATGATGTGCACTCGAACTAAGGTAGATATACATCTTTTTAATTCCTATTTATTCTTAATTTTTTGCATTTTTAACATATGACTAAGATACTTTCTTCTTTTTTTCTTTTCATTATATTCTATTCATAGACACATTACTATTTGTATTCTCTTCTTGACGAATCTAATTTTAATTTCTAACTTCTCTGTATAATATTATCTATCAATTATAACAGTTAAACTTCTTAGATATAACAGTATAACTTCTTAGATGTACCTTCCGAAATGTGAGTGCATTTCATTATAAGTAACATCTATCACTTTTTTTGGAACACTACGTTACAATGCCGACATGATGAGTTGCCGCCGAATTGCATCTACGTACCGTAATTACCATAAATAACTTCTTTCTGCATTTGCGTTTTTAAAATAATTTCATACATATTTTAATTTTTATGTTAACAGCTTGAATTTGACCTCATGGTAAGTCGAAATATTTTGTTATATTTTTTCATTCACATCATCCCCCGTATCATAAGAACGGCGTAGTAATTAATCTTGTTGATCGCATTCTAATTTTATCTCATTTACAATTTCATCAAATAAATCTTACAGAGGCAATACGAGGCACCTTAATTAAATTTTGTCAGCAATTTTTCTACGTTTTTTATAATTTTTATCTTGAATATTATAATAAATATGTTATATTGGCTCGTAGCTCCTTTTTTATATGTATTGAATTTTGATATTATGTATTTTTTCACATCTTTTGGTAAATCAGAGCCACTGAATATCAAAAAAATAAAAAACATTTGCTTAGTAATATTCTTTTAATATTCTTTTAATATTCTTTTTGATCATTTTTATATCAAATGTTTTTTCCGATATTGTTGATGAGATTTTTTTTCATCGTATTGTATTTCCATTCTGTAACAAATTTTTTATTTTTTTCTATGCACTTTTTTTCAAGAGCAATCGTAACATGTTGCCCTTATCTCGACACGAATAAAAATAATATTCGTTTATTTCTATGAAAGGGTTTGTTGCCCTATCCATCAACAAATCACTTTCTATTTTATTATGTGAACTCAACTTTTTCTATAAAAACTAATAAAAATAAAAGATAATTATTCCTAATTTTGACTAAATTTGTTACATCTATTTTGACTAAATTTGTTACGTCTATTATAAGTTAATTTTAAAGATCTTTTATAAATTTGTGGATAAAATACTTTTCATTTACGTCTATGGAAAAGCAAAAAATTATCTCTCATTTGTAAAGGTCAGAAATAATGGAGGAAATTAAAAAGTTAGATTAATAAACTATTAATCATTAGTATGAGATAAAGAATTATTGTCCTCAACAAGTTTTATGGGACTAATAGAAACGTCAACTATGGAGTCATTAATATTTTTAATGACTTTATTTTCGATATTATGCCTTCATCGAGTCCATGTTGTATGAAGATCAATAATTAATTTATCAATTTCGGAAATTCATTATTATTAATGTACTTGACTTCAATGGAAGTAAATTGTTTTCACGAATTTAAATTTGGTTGACAATTTATGACACAATTGCATGACATTACATTGACATTAGCATTAACATCTGCAGAGGAAAAGGGGATAAAATAACTTTAAGGTTTGTCGATCTTTTCTAATTTCTGTCATGAGGTAAGAAAATGATGTAATTTTTTTTAGATTTACTACAATCTTGGTTATCATTCGTAAAAATTCGTGAAAAGTTGTTAAATAAATTAGAATTTTTCAAAATTTATATTTTTTAAGAGCATATCAATTTCATCTTGCTCTCATATGCATATAAGATGATTTTCAATAGTGAGTAAGATTACAAAAAGACAAAAATGCACTTTTTATGAATAAAAAGATTTCTTTTATTGTAATAAATACTTCTTATATTATTTTTGTTATAATATGAAGAATGCAATTAAAGAAAAATGAAGAAC